TTATTGCATACAGTTGATTTCTCCCTATTCCAAGTCTCCTTTTAGCTGTTTTCATGCTAGTACGTGAGATCACTGTTTCATTTATTATTTGAGTATTGAATTTCTGTACATCTTCTCTCTTCTTTTTATTTATGGTTTTTGTTAGTTAAGCTAATTCTGTTTTGACCCTATTCGACGATGTTTTCATGAGCCTACATTTTTGCATAAGTTCTTTAGTTTCTATCGAGAGCTTACTGGAGCTTTGTTTGATGTTCTTACCGGCTAATTCAAGTGCAGCTTCCTTTATTATGTCATTGAATTGTTTGTTGATTTGGTCAATGTTGAGATCTTTGTCGCTGGGAAGTGTGGTGACCAGCCCGCGGCAAGCTTCGGCGCTCCGTAGGACCTGACACACACCGTTTGGCGAGTTAGGTTCCAGTCACCACCACCAATCACCGCTTACCTCTCCGGACCTGACCAGGGAGTAAACATCGTGCCTGGCCCATTTAAGCCGCGGAGTCCTAAGCGACAGACACACTCATCGGCTTGACTCTGACCGTGACACACCTCTGTAACTCCAGCAATAAAGAGTTGAATTGACTACCGTGTGTTTACCTAAACCACACTGGTGACCTCCGGAGTTAAGAGTCCAGTTTAGCCATGAGCCTGTCAACATCTTTGAAGCCGCTACCTACCTGCACCATTGCCTGCCTCCCGGAATGGTTCCTGCAGGTGGAACAGGAGTTCCTCCTTCGCCACGTCACCTCTCCAGTCATACTGGTGACGAATCTCTCACCTGAACTCCTCCTCTCCGTCAGCGACCTCATCAACAACTCCGAATACAATACCTACGAACGCCTCAAAGAAGCAATCCTGCGGCGTGCGGCGCCTTCCCCACGACACGCGTTACGCGCCCTCTTCACAACAGCGTCACCGGACGGCCGTACGCCCTCGGAAATACTCCGTCACATCCAACGCACTCTCGCCCGGGCCGACACACACCTGCCTCCCGATATTCTGCGCTCGATGTTCCTACAGCGTCTGCCGGCGGCGGTGCAGACCGCCCTGCTAGCCTCAGAACTCCCCATCGAGCAACTAGCCTTGAAAGTAGACGAGATCCTCGCGATACAAAATAGCCCACAAGTGTCAGCTGTATCCACGACACCGTCATTAACCCTGGAGTCCCTCGCCGCTCAGGTCGCCGAGCTCACAACCGCCGTTCGTCGGCTCGCAACCCGCGACCCTTCATCACATCCCAGGCCTCGCCATCGCAGCCCCGCTTCGCCCCGTGTCAACCGCGGACGAGACTACACGTATCAGCACCGTCGAAACTACAGCCGCCGCCGCTCCCCGACCCCAGGTAGCTATTGTTTCTATCACTCCAGATTCGGTGCCCAAGCGCAGCGGTGTCAGCCCCCTTGCTCCTGGCCGGGAAACGGGCACCGCGGGAATTAATAGCGCCGGTCTCTCGCGGCCCCAGACGGCGCCTGCTCTACGTCCGTGACATCGACTCCCGCCTACGGTTTCTGGTAGACACAGGAGCAGAGGTCAGCCTTATCCCCGCATCACACAAGGACAGGACCTCGCCCGCCTCTCGCACATTAGAGGCCGCCAATTGTTCTCCCATCAACGTATACGGTGAGCGCTCCATGACACTCCTTTTCAGCGGCGCCCCTCGTTCGAAGCTGACGTGGGTCTTCCTGGTCGCGGATGTACAGCAGCCAATCCTCGGAGCAGACTTTCTCGCGCATTATGGATTCTCGGTGGACCTTAAACGAGAGTCTCTTGTACACCAGTCAGGAGCCTGCACCCCCGCCGTGTCGGCCTTAGTACGTGTTCCCCGCATCTACACGGTGCTACCCAACCAATGTGCCTACAGAGCCCTACTTCGTGACTTTCCAGCGCTGACAAAACCCATCAACGTGGCAACATCACCACCACACACTGTCACGCACCACATCGTCACGACTGGCCCACCGGTCCACTCCCGCTGCAGGCCCCTCGCACCAGATCGCTTCCGCATCGCCAAGGCAGAGTTCGAACACATGAGGGATCTCGGCATCATACGCCCTTCCAGCATCCCCCCTGCATCTAGTACGGAAAAAGGACGGCGATTGGCGCCCCTGCGGTGATTACCGCCATCTCAACACAGCCACCGCACCGGATCGCTACCCCCTCCCGCACCTCCACTCCTTCACACGTGAACTCTCTGGCCGCACGATCTTCTCGAAGATTGACCTCGTCAGAGCGTACCATCAGATCCCCATCGCCGAGGAAGACATTCCAAAGACGGCTGTAATCACCCCCTTCGGCCTGTACGAATTCCTACGTATGCCGTTCGGCCTCCGCAACGCAGCCCAGACCTTCCAGCGCTTCATGGACGATGTCACCCGCGGACTACAAGGCGTCTTCGTCTACATCGACGACATACTCATCGCCAGCAGCAGTAGTGAGGAGCACAAGCAACACCTCTCCGCCCTGTTCGACCGCCTGCAGAAAGCCGGAATCGTCATCAACCCTG